ATATTAAGCGAGGGGGCTAGCTCGTAGGATGGAGTTAGGGCACAGCAGCAGCGGAGATGGTGGCTCTGCTGCAGTAAGGCTTGCCGGAGTGAGGTAAAGAGGATTGACGGGGGGGTTCTGAGTCGTTTTTGAACTTTGTCTAAATTGCTGTCATGGCCTCAGTTTCTCAAACGTTTATATTTCTATGTACATTTCCATATGGGATGCTGGGCCCGGTTCCCAGCACATGCTGCTCCCCATGAATAGATTGGAGCCTTGTTCCTGTTTTTAAAAAAAAAAAAAAAAAAAAAGTGGCTTTATGGAGGTGGGGGGAGCAGTCTGCCTCAGGAGACGATGGGACGGAGGAACCCCTCAAAAGGGACTTTCAGCTCAACTTCAAGGACTGGTTCATACCTCGGCCAGGAACTACCCTCAGGGATCCGATTTTCTTCACAGATCCATTTCCTCCTTCCGAGCTTGCTCTTGTAGAGATGCAATGGTTTGGTTTGGGAGAAGACTGACAAATTCAAGAAATATTAAAGAAAGGCAGAAATAGCTAGTTTTGAGAGATTTCATCTCCAAAATCGAGAGTGAATCGAGATTTGTCATTGAGGTCTCGCTCCACTTCCAAACCGACCGAGACATCAAGCGGGTGTTCACGAGCTTTTGTACGGAGTGGCTGGGGAGACAAGGGGGGGGTTGGATAGCACAGGTTGAGTGGGGAGGAGACCAGACCGTTCCATTAGGACAGGGACCTCCTAGGGGCTATCGTCTTGTCTTCAATGATTGGACCAACATTGAGCCCACTTTTCCGATGAGGCCCCCGTCTGATTTCCCAGACCCCTTCCCGCCCCATCCCCTCTCCTTGATGGAAATGCCAGATTGACTATGACCCTGTCTCCCCCGCTGTCCTCCTCCCCCCCCTGCCCCCCGGGGGACGAGATCAGAAACATGAGGAGGCTACACACTTCTCAAGACCGCTGCAGGCTCGGAACTAGGAGGGCTAATTGAAGTCTGACGCCCAACAGCAGGGTGAAGAGATTCCTGGAACAGGGGATGCTGGTGTGGATTCGGTAGGAGAAGTGTGGCCCTAGGCTGTGTAGGCTCCTCTCTGTTCATTAACTTATCTGAAGTGGCTCATTAGTACTTGGTTCAAAACTGCTCTTAGATTTTCTTCAGCCGAAGTCAGATAATGGCTCCGGTGCGTCAATGCATGTATATTCTCATAAGGGACGCTGGGCCTGGTTCCCAGCACGTGCTGCTCCCCACGAATAGATTGGAGCTTTTGTTCAAAAAAAAAAAAAAAGCTAGTTTTGAGAGACATATTTGGCAGTTTCCAGGGGACTGAAGAGGCAACTCTGCCTCTTGCTTTATTTGCTTTCAATATTGTATTCTATCATGGGATGCTGGACCCGGTTTCCAGCAGGTGATACTCCCCACCAATAGACTGGAGTCACATGCAAAGATAGCTAGGGGTGTATGATTTCACCATTACCCCTAGCTGTGCCTTGTAAGTGTTTAAAAAAAAAAAGAAGCGGCTTAATGGAGGGATAATTGGTGGGAACTAGGTCATTATGTTATGTAGCTTCCCTAACGTTTTGAAGTTTGTTTTCTTTTGATGCAGAGAATGCTCCTTTGCACAGGTCGGGAGCTGCACCTGCTGGAGGCAGGTCCAGCGTCCCATGGATGTGCGATATTTGCTCAGACCCTGGTTCTGCACCACACAAATTCAATGGTTTAATTAGTTATCGAGTTTCCAGGTAGACCCATGAAATAGGGCCTTGTTAGGCCCTCCTCGGAAAATCCTCAGGAATTATGATGAACTCCTTGGAAAATTTTACGGTTTTTGGCGGCGACGTTACATCGCGTCCTAATCGAATGGGTCCCAAGGAAAACCCTTGGAGGTCTCCTGCGGCGAATTTCATACGCATATACGCGGCCACGGGGGTGGATGTCCGTCGTTGTGGTGGGCTGTCCGTCCGTCCTCAGGCGTGGTCCGGTGGTGGCGGCAGGGAGGCCTTCCGGGCTGCGGAGAGAAAAATCGGCGTGAAAATCCCTTTTGAATTTTAAAATTTCAAACCCTTGGCTGATACGCATCGACACACCGTGGCGTGTAGACCGCTGGAGCGGACACCGGAGCGAAATGTCTACGCGGAGGATTTGCGGCGGCCATCGCTGAATGCGCGGGTATTGGAACGTGTGCCGACGAGGCGCGGACGGTGAAGATCTCGGAGTGCATCTGCTATAATGGGTTCCACGTTCCTGTTGGGGGTGTCGACGACAATCCGGCGGGCCGCCATAGCAGAGCTCGCACGCCGCCCCTCCGTCGAAGTTCTGTGAGACTGCTGCCTTCCCCGTCCATGCGGAGAGAGTGGAACGACGATGCCGGCGGCTGATGCAGAGGGTGGTGAAAGCGCATTGCGCGACGTCATCATGGTCGGAGAGCTGCAGCGCGGTGGCAACGCCTTGACGACTTCGGAGAGAAATGCAGTGGTTGCAGCTGTTTCAGCGGTCGCCATGCGATATCGCATTGAGAGAACGACAGCGTGCCTCAAGATGAGACTGTCGATTTGCAGGCAGCGTCAGCTCCTGCAACAAGTGATGGAGGCGCCCGACTGTGTGTCCATGTCCGAATACATTGTCCAGTTTTGTTGCGCCGTCGCATCCGGTGTGATCCCGCAGGCGACTCCAGGGTGGTGGACGAGGAGAAGGACGGGAGGCACATGGGAGGATCTCCGGAAGATGGACGATGCGGCAGACGACTACTACAAGGAGAAGTTGAGGATGTCCCCTAGGGTGTTCCGGGAGATCATGGAGGCGTTGTCCCCTCTTCCACAACGGAGGGTGACATTCTGCAGGGTACCATTGATGCCGGATCACATCATCGCATATGCACTGTATCGATGGGCGAGCGGGGAGACGAGAGCAGCACATCGTCATTCGGCATAGGACGCGCATCAGGCTTGATCGCAGTCGAGGACGTCACCAGGGCACTTCTGAGGGTGTACCGTGACAACATGGTCTCGCCTTCCGGGTTGCGGCGGGTGCTCGTTCTGCGCGCCTTCGAGGCAAAGGGTTTCCCCAACTGCTATGGATGCATAGACTGCACACACATATACGTGGACAAACCGCAAACGCACCATCGGAGAACTACTTCGATCGGAAGCATCGTTTCTTCGTTGTTGCGCAGGTGGTGGTGGACTTGGACTTGCGCATCACGGACGTTTTCGTCGGTTATCCGGGGAGCTGCCATGACATTCGCGTGCTTCAACTTTCCAGTTTGTGGGCACGTGCGGAGGAGGGGGATCTTTTCTGTGGACCTGCCGTCGTGCTGCCGTTCGGATTGAAAACACACGGGTACATTCTCGGCGATAACGACTATCCTCCTCTGGAGCGGATCGCCGTGCCTTACGGGGGGACCGATCAATGCGCCGACGAAGAGAGGTTTGACAACAAGCAAAAGGTCGCCAGAGGAGCAGTGGAGAGAGCTTTCGGGAGATTGAAAGCGATGTGGAGGTTGTTCCTCCGCACACACAAGACAAATATGGACACTCTCCCGCAACAGTTCCAAGCCGTGTGCATTTTGCACAACATCCTCCTCGATGCGGGTGTGGAATTCGACGAGAACTTATTGTGGGAGGTGGACGCTAATGGCGCGTGCCGACACGTGGATTTGGGGTTGGATCACCCACCCCACCCCATCGCGGAAAACTTTAATCGGCCCCGTGCGCTGGCATTGCACGAAACGTTGGTGGAGCGCATGAAGCACGCGTGAACGCGCAAACTCCCTCGACGGCGGTAGCTACGGCATCGATCTCTAAGACTGGGGGGGGGGGACTGGTGATGTTCGGGAGGCGGCGACTGTTGTTGTGTTAAGGCGGGAGTGTGGTGCGCTGGGAACAGTTCTGCATGGTCACTGCAGTTGTTTTTATTTATTTACTTTATGGTCTTGTTCGTTGAGACGTTTTTTTTGTTTTCCTTTTACTACCGTTTGCTTGTCGTGACTTTTAATCATTTCATGAACCTTTGAAGAGCGACGGAGCACCGCTCCATGATGATGTTTTTGTAGACGGTGGTGCCGTATTTGTTGTGCCAGTTTTTGCATATCTGCATCCTTGAATGCGCTTTCGTGTCATCTATGAGTTCTTTTGTTGCGTTAATTAATCGATGTGGTTTTTTTGTGTCATTTAGTCCATGCAGCAACAAAAGAAGCACCTTCTTGTCTATCCATGCGCATTTCCTGTGCCATCCAATTCGAGTCTATTCGACCACAGATAAATTGAACAATGAATCAATCGGTCAATCGATGAAGCGATTAGCCGACCAACCGATAAAGCATTAAATGGATCAGTCGATGGACCGACTAACCGACCAAACGATAAGACAATCAACCAATTAATCAACCAATCAATCAATCAATCAATCAATCAATCAATCAATTAGTCGATCAATTAGTCGATCAATCAATCAATCAATCAATCAATCAATCAATCAATCAATCAATCAATCAATCAATCAATCAATCATTCATTCATTCGATGCGAAAACACAATTTCCAGAGATGCGGAACGAAATTCCTGCAAAAATGTTTACCATTCGACACATGCACTGGCTCCATGAAAGAAATTGAAAAAACGCATCCCCTCTGATTGTGTCATCCCCGAAAAGGTGCCATTAATCACACGGCCTTCACTTAGCAGTGCATGCACTGCACAAATCCGCAAGAAACGAAAACGAAAACAACCACATTTGCGGTCGGTTGCCGGGAATATGGGCGTCCGCGGGCGACGTGGCACACTACACGACTAGGGGGAAACAAAACAACCACATCAACTTCAAAGCGCCCCTCGATCGCTGACACGCATGTACACATCCCTCCCCTCCCCCCCCCCCCCCCCCCCCCCCCCCCCCCCCCCCCCCCCCCCCCCCCCCCCCCCCCCCCCCCAGCTTGACCCCCATGCCAATCCTGCGTCGACACCCCTTCCCCCTTGCCCCCGCACCCGCCATACACAAACCAAAACAACGGGCATGCTGCCGAAGACCACGGACCATTCCACTCCACGGGCGAAGCATGCTGCCACGATGCGCAGGACGACCATATCCACCAAATTCACTTCCCTACGTCGTCGTCGGGACCGTCCTCCTTGTGATCGCCATCAAAAGGTCCCGCCCCCATCCAGTCCATCTTCGCCGCGATGTCGAGGTCTGCCAAACCAGCGTGGTAGTTGAAGCGCACTCCACATGAAGCCCACTCCGAGATGTAGTTAGGAAACGCACCCATCGTCAAGGGCGGCTTCCCGAGGCGAGTTAATACGGCATTCGCGGACTGGAGAACATGCCTGCGCCAGTTGAAGGACTGCGAACCAGCCGCCACAATCGTGGGCTTCGCCACGAGCTGTGCGTAGTACGACGCCTCCTCGTAGGAGCGTGCATCATCACCCCCCATGCGCATGACCCACATGCACGAGGCGAGAAGCAGGCACCGGGCGGAAAGCGTCTGCGACTCTGCTAAGTCTTGACTGGGACATTTTCCCGTCGTCGGACCACTACCCGGCTCGGGGCGCATCGTGAAAGCAGGACGCCAAACGCATCACTGTGGACTCTTGATGGGCTGCCATGTCGCCGTCTTCGGTCCTATCCTCGATATATGCCCGTCCGTGCTTGCCAAACGGCTTTCGCTAGATCGGTGGGGTAATGGACAGCGACATACGACTCGGCGCGAGCGAAACCATCAGACCTTGAAGATGACCTGAATATCCACCCGTGGATGACGCGCATAGTGACGTTTTCCGTCCGTCTCGCCCGTCGCAGAGCTGGCTCTCGCTGCGCAGGATCTTCGATTCGCACGCACAGAACATCGGGGCCTGGCATGATGACGCCATGCGGGGCGGTGGCGCCTGCATCACCGTTCACGATTGCACAATAATAGTTTGCGCAGTCATGCACGACGTCTGCAATCATGCAACCAGGTCCTCTTCCCCAGAACGTCTTCCCGTCTACCCAGAGCTTGGATTTCGCCTCCAACTCTTCCTCCTGACGCGTTCGTTTCTTCCTCAAGTTCAGAGAGTTGTCGTCCCCGCAGTCTGGCCGCGGAATCTCATCCCTCCTCTCCTCTTTCCTCCCCGCCTCTTCAACCGTCCGATCTTCTTGCCTTTCTCCCGCAGCAGTGGCGGTGGCATGGACACTGGGGCTTCTTGCTTGTGCGGAAGGTGCGACAACCCTCGACGACCCTCCGATGATCAACGTGTTCAACGGATCCATGTGGCGCAAGGGGGACACGGGGACTTGTCCTTTATCCGTGCGTTCGACAACGAAAACGATCGTTGACGTTGAACTGATAGGCCTTTGCTGTGTCGTGTCGTTGATGACAATCCCTTGAGAATGCACGGTTCCGCTCCCGCCACCACGTGGAGTCCCTGGAAGACCAAGGTTGGCCAGCGCAATCATCCGCTCCCTGCTGACACCATCTCTCCTGAACCCGAGCGTTGGCGTGACCGTGGAAGGAACATCCATGGGCGACACGTCCTGTCCCCCCTCACCCTCCATCTCGCCCTCCGATCCGTGAACCCCGCACAACTTTTGGACTTCGAGACGTGCCCCCTTCCGGTTTGCCTGCCATTGCCTTCGCCGGATCCGCCCTCTCGCCTTTTGAATTGGTATTGTCCACGTGGCGCCATGCGCTACCGATCGCTCTCCCACGTCTCGCAAATGAAGACGTTGTGAGTCTGCCGTGTGTCGCGGACGGGGTCGTGAACAGATAAAGACGAGAGAGACGCGCAAGTGAAGACAGCGGTGGTGTTTGGCGATCGCGAGGATGATAAACTCCCGGCGCACTGGAACACAGCCTCGAGGCGTGGCAAGGAATGGATGCCCACAAAACGCAGGACATGAAAACCAGCAGACATGCACCGACCTTTATAGTGCTGGCGGTGACCTTTCCTTGCCACGACGCACTCCCAGAATGACAGCGTCGATTTCACCCATCCAGCCCGGGGAAATTCCAACCTCAAGGAACTACCATATATATAGTTCCCCGAGGTTGGAATTTCCCCGGGCTGGATGGGTGAAATCGACACTGTCATTCTGGGAGTGCGCTGTGGCAAGGAAAGGTCACCGCCAGCACTATAAAGGTCGGTGCATGTCTGCTGGTTTTCATGTCCTGCGCTTTGTGGGCGTCCATTCCTTGCCACGCTTCGAGGCTGTGTTCCAGTGCGCCGGGAGTTTATCATCCTCGCGATCGCCAAACACCACCGTTGTCTTCACTTGCGTGTCTCTCTCTTCCTTATCTGTTCGCGACGTCGTCCACGACACGCGGCAGACTCACAACGCCTTCATTTGCGAGACGTGGGAGAAGGGGGCACGTCTCGAAGTCCAAAAAGTTGCGCGGGGTTCACGGATCGAAGGGCGAGATGGGGGGTGAGGGGGGACAAGACGTGTCGCCCATGGATGTCCTTTCCACGGTCACGCCAACGCTCGTATATATATATATATATATATATACACACACGTGGTGAAGATAAGTAACTACTCCCAGCAATGACACCCGACGCTTCCGTCAACCTGCACGAACTGTCAAACCGCGCACGTCGTGCCTTCAACAGCGCCCTTCACGACTGCACGTGCAGAGTCACTGCCATCACCACGGCACCCACGGAGAACAAGCGAGGGATGTAGCATTAGGACATGCATTCACATGACGACCAACTGCGGAAGAATGTACACAGATGCAGGACTTCAGGCGGCGTCACAACCTCTCCCTTATTGCTTTAGCAACTCCTCCCCGGGCACTCGTGTCGGTGAGGATATCGTGGTAGATGGTCTTATTGCCTTGAGGCATGTTGTCGATCCCAAGGTACACTCGCTGATCCATTCGGAAGTTGAATCCCTCTTCTGTTCTCAACGCAGACGTCAAGATGAAGAAGTTCTTCCCCCTGGACGTGTTCTGGTATCGTTGCACCTTCTTATAGTGGTGGAAGAGGTTATCCCACTTCTTGCCGATGTCGTCGGTCGTCCTCTTCACGCCCACGTCCACCAGACGCTTCTGCAAATCTTGCAGCTTCCATTCCCTGTTGCGCGTGCGGCCGTAGTTGTGCGGCATTCCTTCGAAATGAGCATGCCGGTCCCGCTTCGCTCGAGCGAGCTTGATCATCTCCTCAACACTCCAAGCTGGATGTTTGCCGCCCTTCTCGCCCACAGAACCCTTCGATCCTCGACCGCCACGTGACATGACCTTCTGTTGACGTCCTCATCCACCCCTCCGTCCACCACGCACACCAATGGGTCGAATCTCCAAGTCATCCGCATCTTCCGGTTCCTCCTCGCAATGGGAATCTGGAGATTCTTCGTCCGCATCGGCATCGCTCCCCACACGCATCCGCGACACCTCGTTCGTTATGTTATCAGCAGTCGCTCGGCGCATCTGTTGGCGACAAGACGCCCACGCCTGCCTCCCCATTTCCTTCGGTGGAGAAGTGCTGGTGTTCGCCGCCGGTGCGGCAGCCCTCTGCCACAGCGCAGGCGACGGCGTCGCGGAGTGGGTGGGTAACACTGCCCTCGGTGGATCGCGAGCTGGTCCCACGCCTCCACAAATGGAGGGCGCTTGACGACACCCATCTGCCGTGCCACCCACACGGGAGGATCTTCCACCTACCCCCGCCACTCCCACCCGACCCACATACGTTTGCCCAATGGTTGTGGCGCCCACGTGGTTCGATGCACAAGTGTTCGCACCCACTCCAGGCGTCCTGCTTGACAAGCCGAAATCCAAGTCCACAATCTCCGTATCGCCACCGTCCAGCATTGCCGAGTACGACTGACGACTTGTCCCTGCTTCCCTTTGCTGGTAGTGCCTCCCCATCCACTCCTGCGTAGATCCGCTCCCCAGAGGAAGAGTGTGGGACAGATCGTCTAGCCATTCCTCTTCCGGATCCGGCGGTAGCGGTTGCTGGTGCGGCGGGAGATGACTGTACAACGTGCGGTCATATGCGGGTGGACGATGGCCCGACAACGGCCGCTCATGAATGGAGAATTCAATCCCACGTCTGTGTTGTCCGGCGGAGCTCTCCCGCCTTTCCATTGTCGCGTTCGCTGTCACTTCTCGTCTCCGTCTGCCACGAGGACCCCGTACAGCGACACAGGCGCGCAACAAGACGACAAGGAGCAGGAGAAGAGTGGCCAGTAACAGGAGGGGGAGCCGTCGGAGGACATCTGCCATGAATCGCAGCAGCTGTCGATCTGCACCGACTGGAGATCCCTCCCGCGCCCATGTCAATGCCGGGCAATGGACGATGTCGAGGAGAACAGCAGTCGGCTGGCGCTGCTCACACGGCAGGGACAAAATAAATTAAAAAAAAGTCGACCGTTGGACACCACGCCCAACGACGAGTGCAAGGAGAACCCCGCCACATGAACGGCGTCGTAGCCGAAGAACCGCCCCCCGCCCCTCGACGCGCCAACGGTAACAGCACAACGTCGTTGGGGGCCTGTCGCCTGCCGGAAGCCGATGTTGTCCGCCCGATGGACCACGGACGACCTGTGGACCACGAACAACTCCAATTTTCGGTGTCGACGCACACTCCACGACGATCCGTCAATCGCGCCTCCTTGAGCCCAAGGGACCTCGCGAGGACCCCTTGAATCCAAGGACGTTTTGGCTGGGGATTCTGAGGAATCCAAGGAAATCTATCGGGAGCGTTTTCACATTCATTCAAGGATTTTCGTGAATTAGGACGCGGTGTAACGATGCCGATTTCCTAAAAATCGGATTTCCAAGGAGGGTCTAACGAGGCCCATAGAGGGTCAAAAGAAAAAAAAAAAGGTGTCATACCCCACCTCTCTCCCCCAAAAAATTGTACTTGCAAACAATTTGGGGAGGCGACCCCAAGAAATCTGTGGGATGATGTGTGTGCATACCGCCAGCACATGGCTATATATGCAACAACATCAGGTGCTCAGTGGATGAGAAAAGATGTAATGTTAGATAAGGTAATCTCTGCACGTAAACACCAATTTAAGACCATGTGTACATTTTGGCTTCTCTTGCCATCTTCACTGGAATATAATAGCTGTATTTGGGGCAACTTTTAGTCTAGATAAGGTAATCATGACCGTGCATTCTATTTGGGTGAAGATGGTAGGGAAAGACACAACAAATACAGAAGCCTAGAAGAAAATGCATGCCACGAACACAGGAGTAGCGACAGACAGTTTCATCGGACTTGCACCAACTCATCAGGAGGCTGAACCCTAGACAGTCTGCGAGATCCCCATATTGGTCAAGCAGGACTATGTGTTCAAGGCAAGGACCCGGCAACAAGGGACTGAGCAGCAACCAACAACAGGGCAGATAGGCAGGAGGTGATGGCGGAGGCAGGTGGGCAGCCAAACAGCAAGCCAACAGCAGGGGAGCATGATGAGCAGCAATAGAACATGGCAACAAGTCACTGGACGGCAAGCATTAGCAAGGCACATAGACCAGAGGCCACCGGGGAGGCAGGTGGTCAGCCAAACGACAAGGCAAGCAGCGGGGCAGCACGATGAGTGCCAAGGAAAAAGGCAGCAAGGATCAGGAGGGGCGAAGCGAGGCAGCAAATAAGGCGAGCGACAAAGCAGGAGGGCAGTACTGACTCTGCAAGGCAAGCTGCAGACCAGGCAGTCAGCAGTGGCCCCCTCTTTTTTTTTTCTTTTTTTTTTTGAAAACATCCCTTTTAGGTGCTAGCAGTGCTGATACGAGCACACACTGCTAGCACCCTGAGGGAGACTCCATTTATTATTGGTGGGGAGTGTCACTTGCTGGAAACCAGGTCCAGCGTCCCATGACATCAATTCATGAAGTTCATGGAGTTCTTTGAAAACTGTACAAGGCCTGCCAGCATTGATTACCCTGAAGCTCAGGGGATTGACTGCACAGACGAGATGAGCATGATTCCATGAAGACCAAAGGGACCAACAGGCCAGGGTGGGGGTAGGGACACAACCCTGGGGGGCACCAGGTCATCCACCCAACCCCCCTGAACCACACAGACAGTTCACACTACTTAGACCCGCTGGGGTCTTTCCCCAGCTCTGCCGAGACCATTGCTATGCAGACCTCCGCCGTGCTGATTGTTCCAGAACTCACCCCTTACCCCACCTCCATTAGAGAGAGCGGGTGGGGGGGGAAGGGGTCGGGGAAGTCTGCTGTGGGCCTTAGAGGAACACCAGGATCAACCGCTGTCCAATCCCGGAAAACCAACTGGTAGTCCCGGAGCACCTCCCCCCCTGCCCACCCCCCTTCTTCCCCTGGTAACAGCTGAGGGGGGTCATCCCCTGACCAGGATAGCTCCGCCATCTAACCCCCCCCCTGGTACCCCCCAGCCATTCCTTGCAGAAGCCTGTGATAATCTTGTCCAGGTCACGTCTTGTGTGAACAAACGCCAACTTTTGCCTGGCTGCCTGCCAATGGTTAGAGATCCCGGCTTGGACCAGCTGCTTGACCGGTGGGTCTAACACCTCGCCCTCCTTCACCTGAGCCCCTTCCATCTCCAACACACACCTCCACCAAGCAGCCAGGTAGGAAGATAAGCAGCAAGGGAACACGCAAGCAAGGCACAAGGAGGGGCGGAGTGGATGGAAAGCCAGGCAGCGAGGCAGTACACAGGGCATGCTAGAAAGCAGAAAAGCAGTGGGTTAGGACCATCAATGCAACAACACTGGGCATTGCCAAGTGGAAGAGCAGCCAGTCAGCAAGGCAGCACCCGTAAGGCAGTCCGCTCATAGACCACAGACCAGATCAGATCATCACCGAGTCACACCACAACTAGAAGTCTCCTGACTGTAGGCTCACACCACCATTGGAGCAAGGGAGTCATTTCCACGAATGTCCGCCATCACCAGGGAAACACACAGATACAGACATCCCAGACACAGCAGGCCTCCTACTACAGTAGTAGTGTTGCAGGCGCTTCATATAAATAGGCATTAAATATATGGCACATCTTAAAAGTACTGGGGTAGGCACTCAAAACCACGCAGCAAGAAGAGAACAATACGGACAGCACTTAGAGAAAAGAAGTAGGCAGTATGATTGTGTGTGTCTGATGATGTGTGTGAAACACATATTTGAGTAGCCCCAGCATGGTAAAGACCACACACCATACCACCACGAGGTCCACAACCCTTCAGGAGGAGAAAACGCATCCAAGTGAGTCGAGCCTAAAGGCAGGCAAAAGGCAATCTATAGCAGGAAAGAAACAGTCTGAGAGGCAATAAGCAGCAAGGCAACACATAGGTTAGAGGGCACGAGAGAGAAGGGAGGGCACACAACATACAAGCACAAAAAGCAGGGAGTAACTCAACAACCAGCAAGCAAGAAACAGTACGATTCCGAGAAAAGACAAAGAACGAAAACAAAAACATAAACTGATGATGAGAGTGGAAGGGTTGAGACTGTGGCGACAGCTATGATCGCCATAGGTGTGACAAGAGGAAGAGGAGGACGTACGCCATGATATTAAAGCTCTATTCTTCTTTCTCATTCTCAGTGTGAATGTGTTAATCTTCTCTCTGATGATGTCATTGAGGACGCTGCGCCCGGTTCCCAGCACGTGCTGCTCCCAACGAATAGATTGGACCAATTTTGCCCCCCCCCCACAAAAAAAAAAGATCGTTTCGTCAGACTTGCACCGACTGATCAGGAGGCTGAACCCTCAACAATCTTGGAGAATCCCCATATTGATGCTTTGGATCATGAACCCTTTGACCCTTGTTGAAAGCAGACCGACTGCCGGCAAGCAACACCACAAGTGGAACATAGCTGCAGTAGGCAACGACTTACTGAAGCACCAGGCAGGCAATGCTGCCAGGGGCAACCCACCTGCACAAGGCCAAAGCTGACCGCATGGAACAGTAGTGCAAGTGGACAGGCAGGAAGGCAACAACACAAGAAAGCACAAAGCGGTCACCGTGCTGCAAATCGGGCAAACTGCTCGGCACACGAACAAAATGCACGAGAAGACGAAGCACATGGATGGGAAGCAGGCAAACATGCAGCGAAGCACATGCTTTGAACCGCTTAGATTCATGAAACTTCAATCGCATGGACAGTGAGAGTTCACAAAAAAAAAAATCATACCGGAGTCCAGAGAAGGGAACACCAGATTAGCGCAGCTTAAGAAACTTCAATGAATAGGGGAAACTATGTGGGAGTCACAAAAATGAGTTATAATTGCAGTATGGGCCGAGATACAGTTTCGAATTGCAGTTTGGGCAATGTATACAACCCAGCTTTCTGGCCAGGTAGGGTGCTCCAAGTGCAATTGCAAACTGTATCTTGCCCCATAGTGCAATTATAACTCGTTTTTGTGACTCTACTGAAGTTTCCCCATGATCATATTACACAAATTCAGAGTTCGGGTCACCCAGCGCTCAGGAGCGCAATAACCAGCAGCCTCAACCAGGTATGTAACTGACTTCACTCCTCATGTAACTCTCCCTCTCTCTCTCTTTTTCTCTTGAACTCTCTTCCTTTGCTACCACGAGGATCATAGATTCATAACCCTCACAAATTCAGAGTTTGTGTCACCCAGGGCTCATCAGCGCAATAACCAGCAGCCTCAACCAGGTATGTAACTGACTTCACTCCTCGTGTAACTCTCCCTCTCTCTCTCTCTGTTTCTCTTGAACTCTCTTCCTTTCCTACTATGAGGATCATAGATTCATAACCCTGGATACATCCGCCTTCCTCCTTGACTAAGTGTCCTACTTCTACTGCGGCTATGGCCACCTGTCCTCCTCAACCTGGCGCCGCCCAACAGGTTTCCTGGCGCACAGTCCCACTCGTGATGTTGCACAAGCAGCCAACAGCGCTTCCACCTTCTCAGGAATGTACATTATGCCTGGACTGTGCTGGGCAGTCTTTTAACATTGACTTGACTTGGCCTTGACTGGTACCGGTCGCCCACAGGCCAGTTTGCTGTTTGACTTGTTGAGGTCCGGTACCTTTCAGATTTTTGTTGCAGCGCTGCTGCCTTTGGACTTTGGGGCTGGACTCGTTGGCCGGGTACTGGTTCGACTTTGAGCAGTCTGTTTGAGCAGTCTGTTGCCGGAGTAGGGCTGAGAGGGATTTTT